TGGGCTGAGTAGAGAAGCTCAGTAGGAGGTCTTGGTCTTATTTCAGCTTGATGAGAAATTCTACTCTTAACTGTGGAGCTTACTCTAGTCAAAGAAAAACAAGTATTCTCATCAGGAGTCTCAAAAACAATTCTTGACACTAGACAGGCCTTTACTAAGAGCAACCAGAGACAGAACTGAGTATTGACAGTGGGGTTTTAAAATCACACTTAAATAAATATTATTGGCTGGGCGTGGTGGCTCATGCCTGTAATCCCAGCACTTTGGGAGGCTGAGGCAGGCGGATCACGAGGTCAGGAGATCAAGGCTATCCTGGCCAACATGGTGACACCTCGTCTCTACTAAAAATACAAAAATTAGCCGGGTATGGCGGCGAGTGCCTGTAATCCCAGCTACTTGGGAGGGTGAGGCAGGAGAATTGCTTGAACCTGGGAGGTGGAGGCTGCAGTAAGCTGAGTTCGCGCCACTGCACTCCAGCCTGGGTGACAGAGCGAGACTCCCTCTTAACAAAAGAAAAAAAAAAAGTAAATTATATTCTGTGAATATTACAACACAGAATAAAAATCTGGATATAAGTATATGGGAGAGTTAATATCCAGAAAGACATTGTGCATTTTTGATCCAGGTTTCATGAGACAAAATATTATTTTCTTTTCTGAGACTCAATTCTTTCCCAAAGGGATAAGTTCTCTTAAGTGGACCTTTTTACAGCCTTTTAGCTGGCTCAGAAGATGAGTTTTGGTGAACAAGATTATCGACACTCACTGAGCAAGTGGTAGTTAGAATCCCTTTCATATTTGAAGGTCAAACGGCCATAGCTGACATGATTTAGATTCTTCAGCCACTCAAAGTAAGATACTGTCACTCCTCCAGCATTCAGGTAGAGATCCTATACACAAAAATAAGACACCAAAGAATTAGAAGACGATGGTTTTAGCAAAAGCTTAAAATGAACCTAAGACCTTAATTTCAATACCAAGGTAGACTGAACTTCAACTATCACAAATATATTTTAGCTAGTATCAGGAATTTCACACTTAATTTAACACTCCTCCCCACCTCGCCTAATTCCATCTAACGCTTTTTCTATTTAGGGGGAAAAAAATCATTGTTTGACTTATTAATCAATGAATGTTAATAATCTTTGGTTAGAGCCTCTTCTCTACCAGAAGTTCTCAGACTAAATGGCTTGCCCACCAACCAATTGGATTGGACCGTCCACAGGGCCTCTCAGAAGACAGGATTCTTTCTCCTATTACCTAAGGGTAGCCTATTTCAGTTACATTAAATGTGTTAAGCACTTTCAGCAAAGGGGGTTCTTTAAAATGCATTCTAAGCCCACACTAATTTCTAATAACTTTTTGGTGTAGACTCATGCTTACCTGCTAAAAAACCTGAGTATGTGTGCCTCATATTCGTTTTCTGAGTAAAGCCAGAAGGGGCACTTGAAATGCATAAGGTTAGGAATCATACAGAAAATCTTAGAACTTAAGTTAGAATAGTGTTTCTAACACAGCACACATTTCTATAACCAGACTCTTAGAAGGTTAAAGACATTCAGTAAAGACCGTGAAATTGGAATAAATGTTTAGATCACAGTGAAAAGTGACATGCTTAGAATTAACCATGCTTCTACTATATTTTCTCAAAAGTGAAATAAAGATGAATTCACTTCATATAGCTTGGGAGACTAATAATTCCTCTCTTCCTCCAAATTCCTTGCAAAAGACAATTATGATTCTAAGTACATATAAAGCCTAATCAATATAGATGACCTACTGGAATAACCATAATGTTTCTCTCCAGGAAGATCTTGTCCGCTTCTGGAGTTGTTGGCCCATTGGCACCTTCAGCAATGATCTGCAAGAGAGTCAGGAACATAGAGAAATGCCAACAACACTGTCAAATCCCCTCCACTGAGAGCAAGAGATATGCATATATGAACAAGGGCCTGTGGGGAGAAGTACAGCTTCAGTTAAAATTAAATAGAGGTTATTTTGCTCTACAAAGTGTATAAAACTACCTTTTACTTTCCTGTTTATCTAGGTTTTTAACTTTTTTACAGGAGTGTCAGGCAGATGCGTTTTTTTTGGTAATGGTTGCACAACTCTGTGCAGGGAGCTAAAAGCCATTAAATTATTTACTTTAAATGGGAGAACTGTATAGTATGTGCAATATATGCCAATAAAGCTGCTAAAAAGGAAGAGAAAACTCAATCAGATTCTTCTATGACCCCCCGATGTCATTCACATTGATAATGTTGGTTCCGGTTTTTATAATGTCACCTTGGCTTTGACTCTGGGCGCGTTGGATTTGGTCAACTGCTTCTCACTGGCAGCTGGGATCAGTATGTCACAGTCGGCCTCCAAGATGCTTCCTTCATAGGGCTTTGCCTTGGGGAAGCCCAGAATGGACCCATGTTGCTGCCATTGATTGAAAATCACAATTAATAGCTGTACCAGAGTTTAAATGTTTATATTTAGTGTCTATGTCATAAAAATGTATTAATACCAATTTGAAGTCTTCCAGTTCCTTTGGGTCAATACCATCTGGATTCCATATACTCCCATCAGACTCACCAACAGCAATACATTTAGCACCAAAACGATGTAAATATCTCATAGAGTGTAGGCCCACATTACCAAATCCCTGTGAAGAACAATTATCCAT